ACGCCTAATTTTTTGTCAGGTGGTAGAATCCTTCCAATTTTTACTACTTATTCTATGCCAAACCTCCTCTAGTGCTTATCAGCAGAGAAAGGAGTCTCCTCAAAGAGGCCATTTCATTTTTTCCCCCTGCTGAGCACCGTGGCCTCACACATGGAGGTGCTAATGCTTGTCCCTGCTGCTTTGCACCTAGGTACAAACAGCCCCAGTCGCAGTTTCAGATGGAGGTCAGCGCTAAACAAAGCCAGCAGGGACCCATCATCTGCAAAAAGCAAAGATGAGACCAATAGGCCACCAAACCAGAAACCTTCCACTTGCTTTGCATAGGTAATCTGTTATTAATAGAACTGTGACAAAGAGCAAGCTCTGGCATAGTCTAGTGCCGGTTAGGAACGTGTGTGGTTTATTGCCAGAAATTTAGATTATGCTCTTGATATGAATATATAGGGACCAAATTGCCTATAACAACAACCCTGATGATGCACAATCTCAGAGCACCCTTCTCCCAAACTGCACCAAGGGATACATAGCATATCTAGACTAGTCACACGCCTTTAGATGTCCTCAAGAGGATGAAGAAATAGTTAAGTGTTCCACACCAGGATGAAAACTGCACTAAAAATACATTCTGTAGACCTTTCTACAAACAGGGTGGATAAAAATGGGAATGCAGTGACACAGGCTAACTGTGGAATCAGGACAGTGGTCTAGTCTTGCTCTATACCCTTTGCTTATTTAGGTTTCTGCTTTCCAGTTGATGTCTGATGTCTTAAGGCTGATGTATCAGTGATGACAGCCACTCTACCCTCTGCCAGCTCCTTTCAACTTATATCCTACAGCTGTTCATGTTTGGCAGGATGGAGTAACACACTGAGCTTTACTTACATGCTTCTATGTAAGCAGCCCTGACATCCCATACATCAAGGAACCTTTGTCTGTCTGCTCGTCACCTATCTTAGCAAGGGGACTAGAGTAAATGGCATGTTGAGTTCAGCGGTCTCATTTTTGGGGTCTTGATAACATTATAAAAGTATGTCATGTCACAATTGTTTATGACTGCATTACAATGTCACTAGTTCAGATAATAAACCACACCTAACATGTTTGCGACACTACATTGACTATACATGATGTACAATCACCAAAATCCAGTATGGTCGGGTCATATTACAACAACTTTATCTGTCAATACCCTAGCATTATAATGCTCCAGCTGCATCAGTTCATGCTAATATACACAAGTGTAGTATTGTAGACATTAGTACATACTAATCACCCCTAGTTCACCCCTTCCCAGCATCATTGCAGATTAACCGTGGCTAGATTCAAGCATGATAAATAAGTTACAGCTAGCTGGTTAGGCTTGGCCTGCTTGTTTGTTGATATTATTAATTGGGTGTTGTCCTGACCCAAACACTCCTGGAACCCTCATCTGCTCTGTCCTCATCTTTCACAAAGGCCCAGAAACATGAATGCTTTACTTATGGAAAAGAGCATTTATGTGTCTAATAGAAACGCAGTAGTTATGGAATACTACTGGGGAAAAGAGGAGTTCTGCTACACTGGCACAGCTGCAGGCCTCACTATCTCAGCACTGGCACGGGATCCTGGTATAGACAATGGAGTGCTTCACAAGCTATAGCATGGAGGATGCTTTTGTGCTTTCTCTCTCACCGAATAGATGTCGTCTAGCCTTTAAATACAGTAGGAAACAACTTTTTTCACAACTTCTGCAACATCACTCACTGTGGATATGAAGCTCACCAAACACATGTAGTGTCTGCAACTCTCCCACGGAAAGAACATTTAATAATTTCAGATCAATTCAATTTCAATTCAATTTTATTCATATAGTGCCAAATCAATAGATGCTTTATATTGAAAGGTAAAGACCCCACAATAATACAGAGAAAACTCTAGCAAGCAGATGACCCCCTATGAGCAAGTTTTTTTTTTTCGATTTGAAGGAAAATCACCCTTTTAACAGAAAGAAACCTGCTGAACTGGGCTCAGTGAGAGGCAGCCATCTGCTTAACTGGGTGAGGGTGAGGGGCGAAAGACAGGACAAAGACATGTTGTGGACGAGTGAGAGAGGGAGATTAATAATAACTAATGTTTAAATGCAGAGTGATGTATGAACACATAGTAAAAAAAAAGGTGAGCGGACAATAAACAGCTAACATACTAAGGGTTGTGCACACGCAAAACTTGTTCATAACTATCAGTTAGTTCTGCACAGACTAAAGACAGCTGATGTATAACACAGTTTGAGCTTTACTCTTAAATAATTTGTTACACATGAGGCTGCTTCATCAGAGCGGTCAGAATATTTTTTAATCGTGAAAGTGTTTTCTGTACTAAAAACAAAAATAGATTTATTTTTCTGTAAACTATGTAAGAATCTGCAGTAGTGACTATGGTATCCTAATTATTGTACACATGTGTTTAGGCCAGGGATAATGTAACTATAACGTCACTTACTGGGCCGTTTGTGGAACACTTTATGTAACAGACTCATTTAAGTCTGCTCCTACAAGGATAGATACAGTTAATCCTTCAAACCTCATACAATGATGCTGTACACTGCAACATATAACAATATGTGTTTTCTTTCATGTTAACAGGTTAATTGAACCTGTAGCTGTATCTTAGAAGGTAGAGCAGGTAAGCTGCTAATCAGAGGGTTGGTCCAGGACACGCTGGAGAGATTATATCTCTTGGCCAGAATGGGAACGCCTTGGAGTTCCCCCAGACAAGCTGGAGGAGGTGGCTGGGGAGAGGGAGGTCTGGGCTTCTCACACACACAAAAAGCCTTAAGTAATTATTTAAAAAAATATTTATTGGTTTCAATCAATATTCTCCTTTAATATTGATGTATGTAATGTAATTGACTGCATCACTGCGCCCTCTGGTGGTAGGTAAGCTACAAGGCTTCTACTGTCAACTAGTTTTATTTTGCTTCTTAATTACTTATTTGACTTCTCAGTGAGTTATGGCCATAGTCGAAACCCCAGCTATTAGGTTTTGATTTGGGTTTAGTTGATTATTTTTCTTATTTCTAGATTTTCACTTATTTCTTTTTAAAAATTAATATAATATTAATACAATAATACATTTTTTAATTAGTTGCCAGGGGTAGATTGTGTGCTACAATACAAATACAACAATTTCAGAAGGAACGTGTTTCACAGTCTCATTACTGGTTGTGTTAAAAAGACTTTTTCGTGTTTCTGGACTGAGTCTTTATTTGTTGTAGTAAGCATTCTCTGTTGTTGGGAGCTCATAGTTAAGTTATTAAAGGTGTGTTTAATCCTTAACTCTTGTTACTTATGTTATCTGGCATCTTAATGACTCTAGCCTATCCTACCAGCCACACAGCTGCACCTTTATTTTAGTTTGATCTAGTTTTTATTTTTATTTTAGTCATTTTTCCATTTTTCTCATTTCCAATGGAAAAGCAGGCCTCTTTAAACAAGAAGTCAAATCTTTCTCCCAGTGATAAAAAAAGGCCTAAAAACACTCTTATTTTCTGGACGTTCTTTATAGATCTCTATTTATATCTACTTCATAGATGGTTTTCACAGCAGATATTTGAAATTGTATAAAATACACACGTTGCATGAATGAACCCCATGTTCCTCCAAGTAATAGCAAGAAAGAAGCAGAAGAAAATATTGATAGATTTTAAAGTCTTAGTCTCCCTTATTATCCCTTACCTTCAAAATAAATGCAGTGCAATGCAATTAACTAGGTCATTAGTACATTAGTGCTAGTAATTAACTAGGATATTAAGTGTCTGCGGCTCTTCTTATGTTCCTGCCTTTATAAACCACCATGCTCACTCAAAACTTAACCCTAAGAAGGATAAGTAGACTTTGGCAATGAATGAAAATGTATATTATGTAAATATTGATTACTGGTTTATTGTTTCTCATTCAAGAGTAGTCACTGAATCTGTTTGACAGGTTTCTACGTGAGCATATTTTTTGGCAAAAATTGTTGTTGTTGCTGTTGTTTTCAATCTTAATCATTCTTTGATGGCAGCTTCCAGCAACACTCTGAAAGTCTTATGTGTCAAACCATTAGCCAAGGGTTCATTTCTAACCTTTTCTGCTAGTTCTCCTACATGATTTGTTCCACTTCTTACTAATGACTGATGAGTTTTCACAGAATAAATTCCCCAAACAAACGTTTATTGTACAAAGAAAGACAGTAAAAAACATAACAGCTTCAGTCAGACTTCTCTTCTGCAAAGTCGAAACAATACAAAAATACACAAAAACAATGCAGCTGTATATAAATGCATGTAAGAGCCTTACAAAAGATTTCAATGTTTGAATATTGTGTTTCAAGTATTTGTCACTAAGCTGTCAGAACCAATGTGACGCTCACTGTTCACCAGTAAGTGTCAGCGTTTCCTCAAACACAGCTGCTGCTGCTTCTTACTGTAAACATGAGTGCAGTTTAACATCACCCATTCCCACATTTCCCACACCATTATTCTATGAAGACACTGACCATAGACTAGCACTACTTCTTCCTTAGTAAATGAGGATTTTTGTTTTTAAATGAAACTGGCTTTGTGCAAACTGCTTATAAAAGACTGTTAGAACACTGTTAAAAAAATTCACCACATACTGTAGCATTCACTTCACCAAGACAAAACAATGTTAAAGTAAGCTTACGTACGTGCCTGTGTATGTACGCAGCAATAATTAAAACTGCAGACCAAACACCAGACCAGAAACAGACCACTTATAGAGATAAACCCATGAATTCATTGTATTTCATAGCCCATCCATGCTCTACAGCATAGGTGTCAAACTCTGGCCCTAATTACATTTGGCCCGTGAAGCCATACCAAATTACTATTAGAGCTGGCCTACTGGTATTATACAGCTAATATATATATTGTTTAGTATTAAGCTTTGCTTGTTCCATATTCAGTTTTTCATCAAAACTTGTTTGAGTCCATAAGAAAAGATTCATTCTTATATCTGGAGGAAGATTTTTTTTTTCAATAAATATTAATGTTAGCCCTCGACTTTGTTCCAGTTTTGAATTTTGGCCCACTGTGTATTTGAGTTTGACACCCCTGCTCTACAGTGTCTTTAAGTCTCTTTTTGGATATTGGGCATTCATCAAGCCGATGTAATTAATTGCTTATGTTAATGTGCTAACAATGCCAATATTACATTATATCAGCATAAACTAGCAACTGTTTGCTAACAGTTTTGGAGGTAATGCCATGTTAGCGTTGCATTCACACCCTGCTGAGCTGCCACAACGTAACCAAACAAAAAACCATAATACATTAATGCAGTTTTACTGTGCATCCTGTGCATCCTGTGCAGCCTGTGCATCCTGTTCTCCTGTGCTCCTCTTGTTCCACATTTGTAATTTTAAAGTTTTATTCCAAAATGGATCAAACTCGTTTTTCACCTCAGAATTCTACACACAATACCCTGTAATGACAAAGTTAAACCTATGGAGACCTGAAAGACCTGTGCCACTCCTTAGCAAAATGCAAATGACAGCCTACTTTGAGTTTGCTAAATCCGACCACTGGAAACAAAATTCTCTGGTCTGCTGAAACAAGGATTGAACTAAAAGCCAAACATTATGTCCGGAGGAAACCATTGTGCAGAGAAACTCCCCAGTTGACTAGATGGAGAAGAATTGGAGAAACTGCTCAAAAAAGCTGCGCCAAGCTTGTAGCATCATACTCAAAAAGACTTGAGGATGTAACTGCTGCCAAAGGTGCTTCAATAAAGTACCAGGCTGGATACCTATTGACATGTTTTATTTATTTATTTTTTACTTTTAATAAATTTGCAAGAATTTGAAGCAAACTTCAATTTGTCCCTTTGCTTTTGTGTGAAGAATTCTGAGGTGAAAAATTAATTTAATCCATTTTGGAATAAGGATGTGACATGACAAAATGTGGAACAAGTGAAGCAGTGTAAATAGTTTCTAGACTGTAAGTCCAAAGCCATATATCTCTCAATAGCATGTTCCAAGCAGTATGTGGTCACAGTCACACTCATGTAATATGAAAGTATGTTCAAAAAACCTTAGCAGAAATATTCAGGTATGCTTTAATGTAGCAAACAGGTGCTGTGACTGTTCAAATCTTTCATTGAGTGCATCTGCCATGGCACCAGTGTCTTGTTAAGGACTCCAAATGGATTTCAGAATAAACCTTTACAATGTATAACACTTGATGAGACCAAATCAAAACAACAAAAAAAAATCGATTATAACACACTGACCTAGAAATGTATTTGAAAACAAATGAAATAAAAATTGTGATATAAATCTTCAGAGTTAGGGTGACTTACAGGACCTAAGTCTCATCATGACTTCCACTGGAAGCATAGACTAGACCAGTCATAGAAAACACACAGAATGTCTGTGGTCTGTGGTTGTGTTTCAGTCCATACTGGTGTTGCAGATGTTGATGTTCTTCATAGAAGTATTGAAGATGGCTGGCTTAAGACAGCTGTCCTCCTCACTAATAAAGGAAAAAGAGGGCACTTTTTAGAAGGTCATAAAAAAAATCGCTGGTTTTCATGGAATTGTGGAGAAGATGCCCTCAGATCTACAGGCACATATAGACCCTGCAAGAGGAAGAAAGTAATGGACTCCTTGACAGTGCTGGTGGTATTGATGCTTTTTTTAAAAAACAATTTTAATAGAATTACCTGACATTTCAGAATTAAACAAAAAGGGTGTTTTTAGGTAAAACAACATGGGTTAATAATTTAAAACTGTTCTGAAGCAATGGAGATTGATTCTACTAATTCCTACAGGCATTCCAACTTCCCTAAATCACAAAGAAAGTCAACGTGTCATTGAGTACAGTTTCCTTCAACATCTAAACGCACAAGCTCCCAGGGCTCTGGTAGAAGACCTGAGCTTGGATAGGATAATA